TAAGCAATAGGGACTAGGGAGCTCTTGAAGCGATTCTGAATCTGACGTATTTGTTGATGTTGCTGACGCCAACTTCACTGACATGATAGCTCAAAAAAGCATATACTCAGCATCTCCAAAAGTGGGGGGGGGGGTCGACCCCCCCGGTTCTGACGAGTGGGGGGGGGGGGGTTGCGACCTCCGCGACCCCCGTCGGCGACGCCCCTGTGCCGGCGGCTCCGGTGACTCCTCCGGTGGACGTAATACTTATTGACGAAATACTCTTTATGACCCGAGTGACGTCACACATGACGTCACACAAGGTCAACGATGCAAAAATGAAGCACCGGACTTTGCAAGGAGTGCAAGAAATTACTAATCTGTGTTCTTGACGCTCCCGACGCTAAAATAGCAGTTTGCATTTCCCTTATTGACTTATAATGGTGAGGTCACGTTGACGTGACTGACCTGACCTAATGTGACCTTTATGAAAAATCCGAGATATACAAATTGTGTTCGGTATGTTCGGAGCTATCGCGAAAAAAAATCTATGGCGGGCGGTACCCCCCTGGCCGGCGAAGGTTAAAGAAATTATCACCGAAAAACAGGGCTTCATAGGGTCTCAAATCCATGGAAGGGTTGATATGAAATGGCACATGCAATGGACACGCTGGTTACAAGATTAGCCGACAATGATGAACAAATGCCAGTCGATTTTGGATTCGGTTGTTATACGGGTGTCCCGAAACTGGTTGTGGGTCGACTTCCATTGGCCTCTTGCCCAAGGATAATAAACTCATTTTAACCCGCGCCCTGGTGGGGGTCTGTTTATAACGCGACCTGGTGGGGGGGGGGGGGCTATTTTTTGCCCCCCCTCGTATCTCCGAAACTACTGGACAGATCCGCAAAATTCAAACGGTGTTCGAAAGGCCTGTCAAATTTGTCGAGGAAAACCTAATTTCATTGACCTCGGGGTCACCGATGACGTCACAGGTCAGGTCAAAGATGAAATGTTTCACCGTTCACGGGTCTTCTAGGGGAATGCGCTATAACACCGAGGAAAACGCATTTTGTCGAAAATCAGCGATAGGGCGTCAGTTGCCTAGTAGATATGTTGCTATTAGAGGTCACTGATAATACCAGGTCAGGTCACAGGTCAGGTCACCAAGGGTCACAGGTCAGGTCACATGAGCCCAATTTTACTAAGGTTGTGTGATGCATGTTTTATGGCCAATTTTTCATTTCCAACTCAATGGTGTTGCTTATAAGACTATCAGGTACGGCTTAGGTCACTTTCTGGTGAAGTTCAGGTCAAGGTCAGGTCAAGGTCAGGCCAAAAAAGGTCAAATTTTGAAGTTGATAGTTTTGCATAAAATGGGTATTGATTCGATGCAGCTCGTCACGGGGAGTCTAATGGTGGTCTTTGTTTTGCTCTACGGGGTCTAGAATTGCTAAAAATTGAGTTTGAAAATTTGACGTCATCAATTTTGAACAGTTTTTTCGCTATAACTTCGCCAAAAAAAGAGATATCGATCTCAAATTTGATATGTGGATAGAAGGCGGTGAGGAATTTCACATATATTCCGGGTTTTGCGAAATTCAAAAAACTTTTTGGATTTTTTTATTAATATATCCAAAAAAATTATTTTTTGATTTTTGGGGGTCAAAATCCAAAAATTTCAAAAAATCCGAGATAGCAGTTTTGTAGCCCTGTTAATTCTACAGCTTTTATGTCTTTATCATTTTTCTGTATTTGCAAATCTATAGGCCTGACAGCTCTTCCCGCAAAACCCTTTTTTGGGTACAAAACGGCAGAACATGACGTCACTCTGACGTCATTTCCGGCCAACCTATCATAGCCTTTGGAAAAATTTTTGGTCACAATGTGTAAAATTGATGTCCGGGAGGGTACTGAAAGTTTGGTGACGATCAGCGCAGCGGTTCTGGAGATATATCGAAAAGTCTGGAGGGGGGGCAAAAAATAGCCCCCCCACTAGGTCGCGGGTTAAGTTAAATTTACATCCGAGGTGTTCCCAGGCCATAAGGCATCCCCCACACACAAATGTCTCGCACTTTGATTTTCAGCGGGTGCCTGGCCGTCTCCGCCGCGGGGGCGTTGTCGCACTCTGACGTCCACAACACCTTTTTTGGATGTCCGTGAAGGCGTCAGCAACAGCAACGAATACAGCGTCGCATTCAGAATCGCTTAAAAAACTCCGATCAGGTCAATTAGGGGACGGGGAGCAAGAATATGACATTTATTTGGCCCTAGCTCTTACCCATTACCCCTTAATCGGCCCTTAAAGGAAGGGGCGCGTAAAAAGTGCCTCGAGGGTTCGTCTGATCGCTAAAATAAGGGTCGCACTCGATTCCTCGGGTCAATATCTAGCCGCAGCCTCGGGTTCCAGAAGTGTGCATCTTACCCATTACCCCTTAATCGGCCCTTAAAGGAAGGGGCGCGTCAAAAGTGCCTCAAGGGTTCCTCTGATCGCCAAAATAAGGGTCGCAATCGATTCCCCGGGTCAATATCTGGCCGCAGCCTCGGGTTCCAGATGTGTGCATCTTATTTTGGCGATCAGGCGAACAGGTCCATGGTGGACAGCCCAGATGGCTGCTGGATCTCAGTTTGGTGCGGTATGTGTGAAGACTGAAGGTTCTTTGCTGGTCAGGACTCAGGTCACGGCCATTAAAACTATGTACATAGATGACCTCTGTCGGCTTTTTAAGTTTTACAACTTCTTAGGGTGCTGTTCTAGGGGGTCTGAATTCGAATTTGACACCTTATTGAACATTTGACTACTACTTTTGCTGCCTACACAGCATACATCGTAGCAGTCGGTGGTGGTAATAGATAATTATGAATCGTGTTGTCCTGCAGTCCCCTGGCGCCACCGCCTCGGAACCTCACCCAGGACCCGGTCTTGCTCCGTATCTGGATCCTGATCAGGGCTGCGGATTAACTTTACGAGATGCTAGGCGGGGGGGGGGGGGGCGAAACGCCCCCCCCCCACGGGTGGTAGGGTTCGCCGATAGCCCTACGGGGCGCGGGTTAAAGGCAACGTTTCAGGAAGTTTCTACGGCGCTTTACCTTGCGAGCAATATGCCGGCTAGCTAGCCATGTACGGCCACCGAACTAAATGATGCTTATTCGACAGGTATTCGAGTGACTGTGAGACAGTCCTTGATCAATCCACCATTAACCCTCGCCCGCACATGGGGGGGGGGGGTTGCCACCCCCCCCCAGGTAGTCTTTCTGCTCTGTACTCAACATTTTTAGAGCTAGAAGCCTGATTTTTCGTATAGCTGCTCCTCTATCCTTTCTTGAGGTCCACTGAAAATTTCAAGTTTCTGTGGTTTTAGGTTTCGGAGATATGACCTTGTTTTTCAGGTCATGTCATGACCCAAATGACCAATTCTCAACATCTTGCGTTGGCTATGGGCCTTGTGAGCTTTTGACACCTTGATTTCGGCATTTTTTGCCAGTCTTACCGCCAACCTATCATGGAACATGTTGTTCGACGATGTACAGATGTCAAGGTCAGGGTCAAGGTCAACCCAGGTCATCTAAAATAATTGCGTTTTTGGCCAGCTGAATTTACTTTTCGTGAAGTTTTTTGACTGTATTTTTGGTAAAAGCTTCTCAGATCATGATTTCATGTAATATGGACACATAAACAGTCGGTGCACACATCAGTATACACACAGACACACACAGACATACAAACACATAATTGACCTTGACCTAACGACCTGAAATGACCTCAGCGGCAAAAATCTGGACGGGTAGTGTGACAAAGAGGTTCTAGCTGGCTTGGCACCAGAAAACGGCATCGTCATCGGTATATGATAAGCAGCGCACTTGACATCCAACGGTGACCCAAAACAGCAACATTTTTTAGTTTGACCTGACCTGGAAGTTCAATGAATGACCTGAGAAGTTAAAACTGGGTATCATTGGATTCGACTCTTCCCAAAGAATCTTTTTGGTCTTTACCGCGAAGCTCTATCTCCAACAGGAACGAAATGGCGCGGGGAGGGGGGCAACCACCCCCCATGTGCGTTCTAGGATTGGAAAATGGCATGTGCGGGCGAGGGTTAACGCGTGCACGTCCCATGATTATGTTCAATGGAGCGTCGTTCGCTGTTACATTCTAGGTGATACACGCTAATTATGAATCTTGCTATCCTGCAGTCCTCTGGTGCCACCGCTTCGGCACCTGATTCCGGGCCCGGTCCCGCTCCGGATCAGTCACCGGGACCGTCGTCATGCCAGTCATCACCGGGACCGTCACCATGCCCGGCATCACCGGGACAGGCTGCGTGCAGAGCAAAGAAGCGGGATGCACCGTCCCCATGCAGAGCGAAAAAGCGGCCTGCGCCGTCCCCATGCAGAGCGGAGAAGCGGCCTGCACGGTCGACATGTACAGCGAAGAAGCAGTCTGCACCGTCCCCAAGCGGAGCGAAGAAGCGGCCTGCACGGTCAACATGCAGAGCGAAGAAACGGCCTGCACCGTCCCCATTCAAAGGGAAGAAGCGGCCTGCACCGTCCCCAAGCGGAGCGAAGAAGCGGCCTGCACGGTCAACATGCAGAGCGAAAAAGCTGCCTGCACCGTCTCCAAGCGGAGCGAAGAAGCGGCCTGCACCGTCCCCATGCGGAGAGAAGAAGCGGCCTGCACCGTCCCCAAGCGGAGCGAAGAAGCGGCCTGCACCGTCCCCAAGCGGAGAGAAGAAGCGGCCTGCACCGTCCCCAAGCGGAGAGAAGAAACGGCCTGCACTGTCTCCGTGTCAATCGGACGCTTCACCTGCACGGGAGGCTGGAGAGGTAGGAGCGAATTTTACATTCGAACTGACAGCTGAAGACACGGCAGAGATATTTTCCAGTCATAAACTGAAGAAACGTTGGTCTGATAGGTTTTTCCTGGTTGGGGAAGACGTCGAAAGCAAAGGTGCCTACGATGTCCGGAGAGAGCAGCTCCAAAAAGCACCGGACACGGAAGTGAACGAAGGGAATATCACCGAGGTCAGAGCATCACCTGGACCGTCGCCGGGACCGTCACCATGCCGTTCATCACCAGGACAGTCACCGGGACAGTCACCATGCCAGTCATCACCGGGACCGTCACCATGCCAGTCATCACCAGGACAGTCACTAGGACCGTCACCATGCATGTCGTCACCAGGACAGTCACCATGCCGTTCATCACCAGGACAGTCACCGGGACAGTCACCATGCCAGTCATCACCGGGACCGTCACCATGCCGGTCATCACCAGGACAGTCACCATGCCGGTCATCACCAGGACAGTCACCGGGACTGTCACCATGCCGGTCATCACCAGGACAGTCACCGGGACCGTTACCATGCCAGTCATCACCGGGACAGTCACCGGGACAGTCACCATGCCAGTCATCACCAGGACAGGCACAGGCTGCGTGCGGAGCGAAGAAGCGGGATGCACCGTCCCCATGCAGAACGAAGAATCGGCCTGCACCGTCCCCATGCGGAGCGAAGAAGCGGCCTGCACCGTCCCCATGCAGAGAGAAGAAACGGCCCGCACAGTCTCCGTGTCAATCGGACGCTTCACCTGCACGGGAGGCTGGAGAGGTAGGAGCGAATTTTACATTCAAACTGACAGCTGAGGACACGGCAGAGATATTTTCCGGTCATAAACTGAAGAAACGTTGGTCTGATAGGTTTTTCCGTGCTTTCACCAGCTGCAATAGAACGACAAAATGTATCCTGGCAGTGCGATACCGGCACCTAAAGAAGATGTCGTCGAGCAGGAAAAACACAGCTTTCTTCAGATGTCATGCCCAGTGTCGACTGCCAGAGTGCCACCAGTACGTTTTCAGAATTCAGAAGAACCCTGGAAAGTATGGTGCTGTGGTTGAAGGCAAGATCCTGAGTGGATCTGCTAATGCCCACAAAGTATACCATGCCCATCGAAACTTGAGGGGAGAACGGCGCGTCCTGGTCGGGGAGGACGTCGATAGCAGAGGTGCCTATGATGTCCGGAGAGAGCTGCTCCAAGACGCACCGGACACGGAGCTGGCCTGGGAGAATACCACCGAAGACAGGGCATCGCCTGGACCGTCGCCGGGACCGTCACCATGCCGTTCATCACCAGGACAGTTACCGGGACTGTCACCATGCCAGTCATCACCAGGACCGTCACCATGCCGGTCATCACCAGGACAGGCTGTGTGCGGAGTGAAAAAGCGGGATGCACCGTCCCCAAGTGGAGCGAAGAAGCCGCCTGCACGGTCAACATGCAGAGCGAAAAAGCGGCCTGCACCGTCCCCATGCAGAGAGAAGAAGCGGCCTGCACCGTCCCCATGCGGAGAGAAGAAGCGGCCTGCACCGTCCCCAAGCGGAGCGAAGAAGCGGCCTGCACCGTCCCCAAGCGGAGAGAAGAAGCGGCCCGCACTGTCTCCGTGTCAATCGGACGCTTCACCTGCACGGGAGGCTGGAGAGGAAAGAGCGAATTTTACATTCAAACTGACAGCTGAAGACACGGCAGAGATATTTTCCGGTCATAAACTGAAGAAACGTTGGTCTGAAAGGTTTTTCCGTGCTTTTACCCGCTGCAATAGAACGATGAAATGTATCCTGGCAGTGCGATACCGGCACCTCAAGAAGATGTCGTCGAGCAGGAAAAACACAGCTTTCTTCAGATGTCATGCCCAGTGTCGGCTGCCAAATTGCCATAAGTACGTCTTCACCATTCAGAAGAACCCTGGAAAGCATGATGCTGTGGTTGAAGGCAAGATCCTGAGTGGATCTAATGATGCCCACAAGGCATACCATGCTCATCGAAACTTGAGGGGAGAACGGCACGTCCTGGTCGGGGAAGACGTCGACAGCAGAGGTGCCTTGGATGTCCGGAGAGAGCTGCTCCAAGACGCACCGGACACGGAGCTGGCCTGGGAGAATACCACCGAAGACAGGGCATCGCCAGGACCGTCACCGGGACCGTCACCATGCCGTTCATCACCAGGACAGTTACCGGGACTGTCACCATGCCAGTCATCACCGGGACCGTCACCATGCCAGTCATCACCAGGACAGTCACTAGGACCGTCACCATGCATGTCATCACCAGGACAGTCACCCGAACAGTCACCATGCCGGTCGTCACCAGGACAGTCACCATGCCGGTCATCACCCGGACAGTCGCCATGCCAGTCATCACCGATACCGTCACCATGCCAGTCATCACCGATACCGTCACCATGCCAGTCATCACCGATACCGTCACCATGCCAGTCATTACCGAGACCGTCACCATGCTGGTCATCACCAGGACAGTCACCGGGACAGTCACCATGCCAGTCATCACTGGGACCGTCATCATGCCGGTCATCACCGGGATCGTCACTGGGACAGTCACCAGAACCGTCACGGCGACCGTCACCATGCCGGGCATCACCAGGACAGTCACCATGCCGGTCATCACCGGGACAGTCACCATGCCAGTCATCACCAGGACCGTCACCGGGACCGTCACCATGCCGGGCATCACCAGTGAAGACTGCATGCGGAGCGAAGAAGCGGTCTGTACCGTCCCCATGCAAAGCGAAGAAGCGGCCTGCACCGTCCCCAAGCGGAGCGAAGAAGCGGCCTGCACCGTCCCCATGCAGAACGAAGAAGCGGCCGGCACCGTCCCCAAGCGGAGCGAAGAAGCGGCCCGCACTGTCTCCTTGTCAATCGGATGCTTCACCTCCACGGAAGGCTGGAGAGGTAGGAGCGAATTTTACATTCAAACTGACAGCTGAAGAAACGGCAGAGATATTTTCCAGTCATAAACTGAAGAAACGTTGGTCTGAAAGGGTTTTCCTGGTCGGCAAAGACGTTGAAAGCAGAGGTGCCTACGATGTCCGGAGAGAGCGGCTCCAAAACGCACCGGACACGGAGCTGACCGAGGGGAATATCACCGAGGTCAGGGCATCGCCTGGACCGTCGCCGGGACCGTCACCATGCCGTTCATCACCAGGACAGTCACCGGGACAGTCACCATGCCAGTCATCACCGGGACCGTCACCATGCCGTTCATCACCAGGACAGTCACCGGGACCGTTACCATGCCGTTCATCACCAGGACAGTCACCATGCCGGTCATCACCCGGACAGTCACCATGCCAGTCATCACCGATACCGTCATCATGCCAGTCATCACCTAGACCGTCACCGGGACCGTCACCATGCCGGTCATCACCGGGACACCCACCATGCCGTTCATCACCAGGAAAGTCACTAGGACCGTCACCATGCATGTCGTCACCAGGACAGTCACCCGGATCATCACCATGCCCGGCATCACCGGGACAGGCTGTGTGCGGAGCAAAGAAGCGGCCTGCACCGTCCCCATGCAGAGAGAAGAAACGGCTTGCACCGTCCCCATGCGGAGAGAAGAAGCGGCCTGCACCGTCCCCAAGCGGAGAGAAGAAACGGCCTGCACCGTCCCCAAGCGGAGAGAAGAAGCGGCCTGCACCGTCCCCATGCGGAGAGAAGAAGCGGCCTGCACCGTCCCCAAGCGGAGCGAAGAAGCGGCCTGCACCGTCCCCATGCGGAGAGAAGAAACGGCCCGCACTGTCTCCGTGTCAATCGGACGCTTCACCTGCACGGGAGGCTGGAGAGGTAGGAGCGAATTTTACATTCGAACTGACAGCTGAGGACACGGCAGAGATATTTTCCGGTCATAAACTGAAGAAACATTGGCCTGATAGGTTTTTCCGTGCTTTCACCCGCTGCAATAAAACGACGAAATGTATCCTGGCAGTGCGATACCGGCACCTCAAGAAGATGTCGAGCAGGAAAAACACAGCTTTCTTCAGATGTCATGCCCAGTGTCGGCTGCCAAATTGCCATAAGTACGTCTTCACCATTCAGAAGAGACCTGGAAAGCATGGTGCTGTTGTTGAAGGCAAGATCCTGAGTGGATCTAATGATGCCCACAAGGTATACCATGCTCATCGAAACTTGAGGGGAGAACGGCGCTTCCTGGTCGGCGAAGATGTCGAAAGCAGAGGTGCCTATGATGTCCGGAGAGAGCTGCTCCAAGACGCACCGGACACGGAGCTGGCTGAGGGGAATATCACCGAGGCACCGCCGGCGAAAATATTGCGACAGGCTGCGTATGAACGAAGACAGAAAGAGAGGTATTCTCAAGACTGGGCTGTGGATGTGCAGTGCCGGGCAGAAGACTCAGCTGCCAGTGACTCTTCCAGTACTATTTTGTTTGGAGGCATCCATTTCATCGCGAGACACCCGCTTTCGGTTCACATGTTCGGCGAGCATTTCATGAGGAAATACCACAACCGCCCAACGACGCTTCACATTGATGCCACCGGGGGCGTGACGAAACAGATCGGTAAAAAGCGCCCGTATTTGTACGCTATTGTAGCGGAAGGCACCAATGAGAACGACAACAGCTACCCGTTTGCGCACCTGATTGCCGAAGATCATACGGTTCCAACAATTCAACATTTTCTCACACACCTAGCACGCGAGTACAGGACTGTCACAAACGACACGTTTCAGCCGCCGCGTGTGGTACTGGATTTCAGCTGGGCTCTACTTCATGCAGTTGTTCTCAGCATCATGAAGATGAGTTTGCTGGCGTACCTGGAGCGGTGCTGGGACTCTAGCACCAGCAATCCCCCGGCGACGACTATCAGCCTCTGCGGCAGCCATCTCATGCATCAGTTCGCACACAGTCTCACTGATTGTGGCGTAAAGAAAGATTGCCGTGGTGGATACATGTGGCTTTTTGCACGCATGCAGAAGGCGACCTCCTTGGAGCAGCTGGACGGCGAGTTCAAGACCCTGTGTACATTGGCGATGAAAAAGACAGAGGTTACAGACCATGCCGGCATCCGGGGAGATATGGCGGAGGAAACTGAGGAGCAGACTGGAAAGATCCTGAATCCCAGTGAAGATGAGGACGAGGACAAGGTGCCACAGGAAGTCAAAGGTACCAAAAAACAGACATACAGGGCGCTGTCACCTTACGGGCGACACTTCGAAAGGGTGGTGGAATCGGTCAAAACTTCAACATACGAAGACGTTCATGAAGTAACAAACCCGTTTTATGCACCGAAGGTCGTGGAAAGTCTGATGAAGTCACTGCTGCCACTGGCACCCCTTTGGAGCCAGCTACTACCGGGTCTGTCCGGGGTCACGACAAATGCGTCTGTCGAAGTTTACTTCAACGTCGTCAAGCATCGTCTCCTCCGAGGCCGAACCAAATTGCATCCGTGCGAGTTCATCCGACAGCTCTTGAATGATACCAACAGCCGCGTGAAGGCGGATCGAATCCCAGCCAAACCTGCACCACGAGGGAGGAAGCGACTGAAGAAAGACCGCAAACCTCCCAGCAAATCGACGCAGCACGCCCATAAGACTGTACCGGAAGATCCGGACGTCCAAGAAGAGTTCTGGTCCAAAAAGAATCGGGCTGCGTCAAGGCCATCGTGGTACGCGCGAAGCAAGCCACCGGACTGTCTCAAACAGGCAGCGTGTAGCAGCAAGGCACCACCGATGCTGGCGCGTGATATCCCAGAGCAGGCGCAGCCGACATCAGCTAGAGACGGCAGCAAGGCACCAGCCGCGACGCTGGCGCGCGATATCCAGGCGCAGCCGACATCAGCTAGAGACGGCAGCAAGGCACCAGCCGCGACACTGGCGCGCGATATCCAGGCGCAGCCGACACCAGCTAGAGACGGCAGCAAGTCACCAGCCACGACGCTGGCGCGCGATGTCCAGGCGCAGCCGACATCAGCTAGAGATGGCAGCAAGGCACCAGCCGCGACGCTGGCGCGCGATATCCAGGCGCAGCCGACATCAGCTAGAGATGGCAGCAAGGCACCAGCCGCGACGCTGGCGCGCGATATCCAGGCGCAGCCGACATCAGCTAGAGATGGCAGCAAGGCACCAGCCGCGACACTGGCGCGCGATATACCAGAGCAAGCGCGGCCGACATCAAGAGGAGAAGCTAAGGCTGGACAAAAAGAGCCTAAGCTGGCGCTGGACCCGAACTCCGTCGGCACCAGTCTCTGCGAACAGTCTGAGAGATCATTGAGCCCCTACCAGTGGCTAGACGACGAAGCCATTGACAGGTTTTGTCTGGCGCTCTCTGCGTCCACTGACGGCAGAGTGGTCCATTTTACGACTACTTGGTACGAATGTATGATTGGCGGAAGGACATCTGCAATGCTGCGGCACCATTTGGCATCTCGGTCAGCCCAGCATGCAACCATCTGGCTGCTTCCCTACAACAGGAACGGCAACCACTGGGCGCTCTACATCGTCGCCCACAAGTCCCAAGCTATCATTCACCTGGACTCACTGGGGCTCCAGCCCAACGGTCTCGATGTGGCCCACGTCCAGAAACTGATAGAAGCAGCCCATCTGTTGATGCCTGATCCAGAATTTGACTGGAGCCGATGGTCACTCTGTGTGCCAGTGGAGTATCCCATCCAAGGTGACTCCTACTCCTGCGGCACGCGGGTCTGTCACGCGTCTGAAGCGGTGTCTACTGGTGGGGTGCGACTGTTCAACGACGCCCTGATGCGTAAGGAGATTCTCCACAAGATCAAAAGCACACAGGTTAGACCATCAACGATAGGTACTGTGTCATTACATGCTTGGTTTTTGTTCATGCGCTTTTTAAGTGAAAACTCAAGTTATCCTCTATTTTTAGTATTAAGTTACCCTCTATCCTCTATTATTTTCTGCGAGGGCACAAGAAAAGTGACAAGCCTGGAACATTTGCTGTTATGGGGTGACATCTCCGAATGTAAGCAGTAAGACATGTGATTCGTTTTGCCGTTTGTTTAACAGCGCAAGAACAAAGTATTGGAGGAAAAATGTAACATATGCTGTGTCGTAATTGCTTTGCTACAGGTGCCGTCTGGGGTCCGCAGCGTCACATTGGGTTTCCAGTGCAGAAAAGAGATGTGGAAGGCGATGCCGAAGCTCCACACTGTCCATGCCGTCGGAGACGTGTTCATCTTTTTGCAGCAGCTCTACCGGGCATCTCTTTAGTGAGTTTTAAGTTGTACGTACCTATTACCCACGTCGGAGTGGCCTTGTTGCTCGGCAACATCGGAAACGTGATACAATTTGGGAGTATGTCGAATCTTCCCAGCCCACACACGCTTTTCAGTTGATTTGAAGCTCAAATCTCATCGCAGTGAAAATTATCGCTGCGAGACTGTTTATGTCCATTACCTCTAATGACGTCATACGACCTGAAATGCATCTTAACCCGCGTACCGACGGGTCTCTAGTCTCTCTCTCTCTCTCTCTCTCTCTCTCTCTCTCTCTCTCTCTCTCTCTCTCTCTCTCTCTCTCTCTCTCTCTCTCTCTCTCTCTCTCTCTCTCTCTCTCTCTCTCTCTCTCTCTCTCTCTCTCTCTCTCTCTCTCTCTCTCTCTCTCTCTCTCTCTCTCTCTCTCTCTCTCTCTCTCTCTCTCTCTCTCTCTCTCTCTCTCTCTCTCTCTCTCTCTCTCTCTCTCTCTCTCTCTCTCTCTCTCTCTCTCTCTCTCTCTCTCTCTCTCTCTCTCTCTCTCTCTCTCTCTCTCTCTCTCTCTCTCTCTCCCTCCCTCCTCTCTCTCTCTCTCTCTCTCTCTCTCTCTCTCTCTCTCTCTCTCTCTCTCTCTCTCTCTCTCTCTCTCTCTCTCTCTCTCTCTCTCTCTCTCTCTCTCTCTCTCTCTCTCTCTCTCTCTCTCTCTCTCTCTCTCTCTCTCTCTCTCTCTCTCTCTCTCTCTCTCTCTCTCTCTCTCTCTCTCTCTCTCTCTCTCTCTCTCTCTCTCTCTCTCTCTCTCTCTCTCTCTCTCTCTCTCTCTCTCTCTCTCTCTCTCTCTCTCTCTCTCTCTCTCTCTCTCTCTCTCTCTCTCTCTCTCTCTCTCTCTCTCTCTCTCTCTCTCTCTCTCTCTCTCTCTCTCTCTCTCTCTCTCTCTCTCTCTCTCTCTCTCTCCCTAATTTTACACATTTCGACCAAAACTTTCCAGAGACTTTGATAGGTCGGCCGCAAATGACGTCAGAATGACGTCATGTTCTGCCATTTTCGACAAAAAAAAGTTTCGCGGGAATAGCTGTCAGCCCTACAGCATTGAAGATACAGAAAAATGTTCAAGACATATAAAGTGTAGAATAAACAGGGCTACAAAACT